TTGCCCTGGCCTCAAGTGATCTGCATGCCTCCGTCTCTCTGCAGCAGAAAAATGATTGCGGAAAAAGTCATTTCCCTCTAGTGGAGTTTTAAAGAACAAGCAAGAAGGAACAAGGTGAAGAAGCAAATTTGCTCAAGGGGCAGGAGCACTGGAAGGTTCTTGTCCCTGACAACGGTCGCCAGCTTTTGGGGATCTGTGGCTGGTTGTCACAAGATGCCACTGTAGGATTGTAGGCATGAGCCACCATGCCCGGTCTTGGTCATGGATCTTAACGTGGCTGCCACTTTTTCCCCATTATGCCCCCAGCACTCAGAATAGCACCTGATACTAGGCAGGGCTTATGGCCTTGCTCTTGCCAGAAAGTCATGCTCCTGCAAGAAAGCCTTTGGGAACTCTATGTGAGTGCTGACTCAGTAAGCCCCTATGTAAATGCTGACGTATATTTAAAATCTAAGTAAGTGAACTTCACACCTTGGGACTATGAACACAGAAACACCTGTACCTTCCTGCCAGTTGACACCTAATGCCATGCTGAGGACTCAAACTGGTATGCAGTCTCTTCCAGTCTTCCTGGGTGATCTGCTATGTTCAGCAAACTGACTTCCGTTGGAGTGAACTTTTCTTCCCATCATGCTTCCTCTTTGTTTGCCATGAACTGCCTCCTGGTAAGGAAATCGGCTATCGGGTTTCAGATGCTCTGATTTTTTTAAAAAGGAATTTCTTGGCTCTGTATAGTAGCCATCCTTCCTCTCTCCCTAGTTTTTCTGAGCAGCCCATTTTTGTGGGTGCAGTCCACCTCTCCTAGAGGCACCCAGGATAATAAGCCCAAGGAAGTTGTGATAATCTTAAGGGTCAAGTTTTGCTCTCAATTTACACCTACATCTGTCTTTCGTTACTTTTTTTAGTTGGAGACATCCAATGTAAAGGATGCCTAAAGTAGTGAGATTGCTTCATTGTAATTATTTAACAAATTACAATGGGGTTAAAAATTACCTGTAAGCACTTACACTTCCAATCCTTGGCTGTCATGGACATTGTATAACATTTGCAAGCAGAAAAGCTACCGTATTTGCAAGCAAAAGGGTATTCTATTTGCAAGCAGAAAAGCTAGTCATTTTCCCTTTAGGTAGAAAAGGTATGCAACATTGACATCCCCCAGAGCTGTGCTGTTTGATGCCACTGCCCTCCTGGAGAACTGAAGACAGAAATGGCAGTGGTGGGGCTAGTGAGAAAAAAAAACAAAACAGTCACCAGAGTTGCCAGAGCTGTGAATTGTGCCTCTCTTCCCCCGCAATCATCATTGGCCTTAGTGACTGCTTTCTATAGAAAGGGTAACATCGGAGGCTTAGGGTCAGGCCCTGGGCTAGTGGATGCTATTGGGTACTACAGGGTGAGTGGAAGGAGAAACTGTAATATCTAGATGATCTTCCCCGTTTCTCGAACACCTCCAGGACAGCTTTTCAATAAGAACTATCTAAGGCTGAGGGAAATTTTAGGTAAGTGGAAAGAAGGTAATGTTTTTATGCCTGAAATCTTTTTGCATAACAGGCTATTTTGTTATTTGGAGATATTAAAGGCAAAGAATAGGGTAAGAAAAAGCTCTTTTTGTCTTTCTCTAATGACCAGGGGAGTCTCAAACTCTAATCCAAGATTTGCAAATGAGAGAGAAAGGGATTTCAAGAAGTGTATTGTGATAAAGCCCAAAAAACTAAAATGTCCAAACTGACCCTAAAAATACCTTACAGGATTTAAATTAAATGAGCTTTAAAAAAAACTACCCCACTGGAAATCCTTTACTAGCAAAGACAAAAAACACTGGGATTTTCGGTATTGCTCTTAGCAAAACTCGGGTAATCTTAGTAAATGTAAAGACTAGGCAGTACTTTCTTGATACTCAGCAAAGTTTGCCTCCCTCACCTGCATGGAGCAGCCAGTTCAGCGCGGTAGAAGGAACCCTTCAACGTGGCAGAAATGGAAAAACTGAATTTTAAAATGCAATTAATTAGGAGAGTTAGATAGCTTTGGCTGGGAAGGCTACTACCACTTCTGAAAATATTACCTTGTTCTTACTGCTTCCTCTAACCCCTCCAAGAATGGCAGACACCAACCAGCAGGCCTTCCACGGGCTTCCTGACCTGCCCACTTTTACAGACACGCACAGGCACACATGAAATGAGACACACATTAATTTCCTCGCTAGAAATTAAAATGAACAGCTCCAGTAGGAAACCAGCTCTCAACGATTCAAGCATTTACCACATATAATCGAAAGGGCTTTTTCTTCGTTTGCTTCTCAAAATTCCCCTTTAGGTCTCTGCCCCGGAGCCCCCTCCCAGGAAACCACATTTGCTCCACTGCACTGGCTTCCAGGCTAGGAAGGGAGGTGTATCTGGAGTCCTGGGAGACACCTTGATTTCCTTCCCCAGCCCCTTCCTGCCGGGCTATGGGAGCAGATACTGACTTTTTCCCCTGTGCCCTCTCTAGGGATGCCTTTCCATTAGAGGGCAAAGAGGAGGAAGAGGAACTGGGTTAAAGATGGCCTCTGCTTAACACATATGTCAAGATCAGCTAAGCTAAACCGAGCAGGCCCCAGTTTACCTCAAGGATGTTCAGCACCACTACAGAGCAAGCTGGAAGATTCCCCCACCTCTCAATTTTAGATGCCTGCTTCCAAGGGCAGGGTCCCTTTGCTTGTAAAGCAGAAGCTGAATTTCTGGCTACAGGGCAGGGGAGGAAGGGCTATTCCAGAAGAGACTGAAGCTAAGTCTGCGGCCCCGGCCTGCACACCTCCCTCTGCAAGGATGTCCACTTCGAGATGCAGAAGATGATCCTCCCTGCCCGCATCGGGGCAGAAGACAAGAGGCAGTGCAGGCTCCAGGAGGAAACAGCCCTTAAAATACTTCTCTTCCGAAGGCCAGGCACCTCGCCACCCACAGGGGCTCTCATTTTACCAAAAGGCCTGGCCTTCCCAGTCACTAGCCTCGCCCAGAATCTCCAGGACTCTCGAATAGGTCTGGCTGGGTGAAATGGAGGAGGTTGGGGAGGGGACACTCAACGGGATTCACGAGGGACAGGGAGATGCCGCGCGCCCTGGGGATAAACCTGAAAAACTAATCCCTCTCTCCCCGGGAGCGGGGCCTCAGTGGCTGCACCCCCGGAAGCCCAAGGGCTGAGGTCCCGGAGCTGCCGCTCTAGGGCGGTCCCCTGCGGATTTCTTCCAGGAAGGAAAGCAAAACACAACAAAACAAACCCACACTCCACGTGGGGCTGGAGCCTAGCCCCAGCCCTGCTGTGTTCCCGCGGGTCCCGGGCTCCGAGGCCAGCGAAGGAAGGTGTGCCCGCGCTCTCTATCCGGAGAGTCGAAGGCAAAGTCGTTCGGGGAACATTCCGGCCAGCCCCGGTCACTCGAGGGGACTTGGGTCCCAGAGGAATTGCCCTCATCTCTGCCACCAGCGCGGACAAGCTCAAACAATGGCGCGGACGCCCACCCTGGTGGCCTAAGCAGGACCTGGCCCCTCTCAGCGGCCAGGCTTTCCGGGACAAGCCCCTTCCTGGCACTTTCTCCCGGAGCGCTTTGGGGAGAAGGGAGGGGGACTGGGCTCAAGTGGAGGGGCAAAAGACGGCTCTCGCGGAAAAAGAAAGAAAAATCAGCAAAATCGCCTTAGCAGTTCAACCAAAGGTCAACAGCAGCGTTTCCCCAGCAGCTGACAGGTCAAATGGGCAGGAAACAACTGCGGAGAACAAAGCCCCCCGCTGTTCGGCAGGGGCGAACCCGACTCTTCAGCACTGAGCAGTTTTGTTGTGCTTTTTGGAGTGGAGAGATTTCCGCCCCCCTCCAGCTCCCTTGCTCCCCAGTGGACAGGTCCGGAAAGGAGCGGAAAGGAAACGAAAGGAAAGGAGGGAGGTGGCGGGGGCGCCTGCGGGGGTAGGTGCGGCTCTTTGATGGAGGGGGGAGTCTGAACCGCCTCCCGGGCTCGGAATCGCAGACCGACCCGCGCGAAAGAATGCTCGGAATGCGGCGGCGGGAGGCGAGGGCGCAGCGCGGCAGGGGGCGCCTGGACCCCACGCGCCCTGCCCGCTCCCAAGCCCGACAGCCGCAGACACACCTGGCCCTGCAGGTGCGGCGGTCGCCCAGTCCCTCCAGAAACTCGGACAGCACGCGATTTTCTTCGGGATATCCGACTACCAAACGTGACAAGACAGCCGGGTCGCCAAGTTTCGCCAGGGCTCGCTTACATCCGGCACGCGCCGCCATCAGATAGTCTCAAATCTGGGCTGAACAAAAGGTGGTCATTCTGCGCTACCCAGATTTGCAGGAGCCAGAGGACCGATTCCGCCCCGCGTCCCCCAGTTATACAGTCCTGCAGCCTCCCGCTCCCAGAGCCTGGATCTAGCCCGGGACGGAGATTAGCCACCTTCCAAGCGGAGCTCGGAGTTGGGCAGCGGGAAAGCAGATACAGATCGCTCTACACAGTGTGTGCAACCCAATCATCCTTTCTGCATTTGCCAGGGTCTTGTTTTCAGTGAAACTGGCAGGGCTGATTGTACCTCGGCGCCCACCCGCCTTCACCCTTTTCCCTACCTCTCGGATTTTCCGGGTCGGGCTTAGTGCAGGGCCCCGGCATGCCAAACCGATAGGCCTATCTTGTCCCCACGCGCCCCGTGATACTTGAGAACACTTCCCGGGACTCGAGATGGGCGGCGCAGTAGAGTCGCTTCACCCTCGAGGCCAGGACCTTTAGTGTCAATAAACGAGCTTCGCTAGGACAGAGCAGAATTGCCGGCGACTGGGGGAACCCGCCCGCACTGTCCCTGAGGACTTGAAGCTCGCACTTTCATAGAAACCTTGCAAGCCCGTACACACCAACACGCACAAAGGGGCGCGCGGGGATCCCCGCAACCACGAATCACGCAGGGGACTCCTTTCCGTGCCAATAAGGCGCAGGCCTCCAAGACCTCCTCCATCTCCCCTCCAGCTCGCGCCCGGAGCCCGCGTTTACCTTTGAGCAGGCAGATGTCGGTGCGCTCGGCGTTGCGGCGCAGAGCCTGCACCACCAGCGACACGGTGCTGTCCTCGCGGAGGCTCTCGGCACGCGGGCTACGTTCGTCATAGACGATGACCGCTGAGTAGAGGCCGGAGCGCAGGCGGGCGCGCACCTCCTCCTCGGCGGGCAGGATCTGCTCCAGGCTCACAGAGCCCTTAGCCCGCCGCCTCACGATGGTGTTGCAGCGCACATTGACCGAGCCTCGGATGTAGCCCGCGCTGTGCGCCAGGAAGGGTCTGCAGTCCAGCAGCAGGCACTTGCCACCGCTCGGTAGCCCCAGGGCGCCGTGGCTTCCACTGCCTCCCGCGCCGCCGCCGTTCTCGTCCCGGTTCATCAGCCTTTTGAGCACACTGCAGTCCATCTCCCGCAGCTCCTCCATCGTCACCATAGTCGCCGGGAACCTTCGGCTGGGCGCTCGAGGAAGAGAAAAGCACCCGGGCCGCCTAGGCTGCAGGAAAGGGCGGGCGCGGGCTACGAGGGGACGCCCGCTGAAGTGGCCGCAAACGTGGTCTCCAGGCGCTCCCGCGGGCGAGTCTCCTCTCGGCCCCCTTCCTCCTGGAGCCCCGCAGTCACATAGCAGTCAGAGCGGCCTCGGGCGCCCAGCCGAACAGCGCGCGGCGCGGAGGGCGAGGCGGCGCTGGAGGGGAGTGTGTTTACGGGAGAGGACCGCGGACTCTCTTCGGCCCCAGCCTCTTGTGTATTTTTGCCGGTCGCGCTGCTCCTGTCGCTCCCCACGCTTCCCCGGCGCTCCGCGCACTGCCCCAGCCAGAGTTTCCTCCTCGGCTTAGAGATTTATTAATGCTCCTCCGCGCTCCCGGGGGAGGGGGCGCTCGGTACTACCCCGCCAGGCCCCGCCCCGTTCCATTCCGGGCCCCGCGCCCTCCCCCGCCCCCTGCGCTGACTCCCCGCTCCCTCCGGGCCCCTCCTCCCGCCCCCTCCCTGGAGCTTGAATGGAGCGCGGCTGCTCGCTCCCGGTCACGGGAACTCGACGTCACAAAGAGCGGAGTAAACAGGGCGCCGGGTGCTCGCCGTCAGGCCCATTCATAAAACGAAGACTGAGAGGAAGAGGGAGGCGGCCTCCGACCCGCCGCGAGCCGCAGGCAGCGCCGGGACTTTGTGAATGGAGCTCGCAGCGCCTTTCGCTGTCCGCTGGCAGGCCCGGCCTCCGCTGCGCCTTCAGCCCGGCATCCGCACCTGTCCCGCCGCTCAGCTGGCGGCGCCAAGGGAAATAGCCAGCCGAGGAGGCCGGGGCTCGGGTTTGAGCTTTCATCCGTTTGCACCTTCGCGCTTCCCCGCGTGACAGGCCCGCAGTCTCTCCCGGGTACCCAAGGAGAGGGGACTGGAGCGTCGCTGCCCACCCGGCAGGGCCTGCACCTCCTAGCCCCAGACTCCCTGTGCGCTTTTGGCCCGGCCAGTCCTTTCTGAAAACGCGATTCCTGAGACGTTAGCGTATGCATTAGCGTGATCGATTTTCATCCAAAGCCCTTAAATCAGTTTTATAGCTTCCCCAGGAACGTGGGCAACCCCCTGCTTGGAAGATGAAAGAGAAAGTCCTTTCGCCCGAAGCCCAGGATCGGAGTGACGTGTGGGGTTTGTGGCTTTACGACCCATAGGGAGGCATTAATTGCCGGAATGGTGTTCCGAGGGAGGAGAACAGGCTGCACTCCTGTCCGCGCCTCCTAAAAGATGTTTATTTAACCCTGGTCAGGGGGAAAATAAGGTTTTCGGGTTTGGGGAACGTCTTCACCCTATCTGGCATAGTTGTGAATTATCCTTTCAGGAAATGACAGGTCCACATTTGGCGTGGAGCTGGGCCATGGAAAATGTACCCGTGAAGAATGACCTTTTAAAAGAACTTCAGCAGCTCTGGGCCCGATTCGGGTTTTCGGGCATCCCTTTTTCCAGGGCACGTGGCAGCCCTCCGCATCCCCATTTCTCTTTTGCATTTAATTTCCCAGAGGCGGCATTTAGCTGGGGGTTTATGCACGCACACGGTGGGGACCGTGCAGAAGTCAAAAATCATTCGCCCGACATCTTGCCAAGTCTTGTTACTGAGAATTAATCACAGAGCAAGGAAGTTATATGACTCGCTCGCAGTCTCGGAAGCTGCGGAGTAGCGTATTCCATTCCAGGGCGCGCGTGGAAGGCCGACCCAGGCGGCAAGGGCCGCGGAACCCACCGGGTCTCTCCCGCTCCAGCTCGCCCTCCCCCCACGCCTTTGTTCCGGGCAGAGTGGCTCTTCCGTGCTCTCACCTCCGGTCCCAGGGGCCATCCCTGCACTCCCAGACCGGAGCTTGGCGGAGCCTCCCCTTCCGAGACCTTCGACCCGCCTCGCCCCCCACTGCGCCCCAAATGCCCTGACCCCCGGGCCCTGCTCGAATGGGCTGTGAGGGGCACCGCTTGGGCAAGGTGATCTTTCCTTTTGCTCCGGGATCCAAAATGGCTCACTATGGCACTGCACGGATCCTCTCTCTTCTTAAAATTTAGTATTTTATTCATCATGGAGTTTTTGCCTTTTTTTTTTTTTTTTTTAAAGAAGCATTGCATCAAGATATTTCTTTTGATAACTGACTTTTCGGAGCCCTTATTAAATTTTGAGCTCGAGGCTTGTGCTCACCCTAGTCCAGGCCCTGGAAGGGGCCACAACTGTGAACTGACTGACCGAGGCTGCCAGGTGGTGGGACCTCGCGCCGGGCACTCCGAGTGGGAGATCAGTGGTCAAAGGCGTACCGCGAGGCCTCCCTGTGGGGAGGGCAAAAGGCGTCTGAGTCGTTTCCCATTCTGCTGAAGTGACTGTGGGGCTCTGTCTAATAACTCGCTTTTGATAAGGAGCAAGGCGCCCCCGGGGCCCCAACAAGTCCAAGGCTGATTTCGCTTTCCCGGGTTGCTCTTTGGCAGCTCAGAAATCGCCGCCTGCCAGGCCCAGGGCCGGAGCTCTCCCAGCGCAAGGAAACACCGATTCCTTTACAAAGGCTTTGATAAAGCATTTCTGGAAAAAGCCTCTCAGGAGGTAGGTCCGGGCCAATTTCACGCGTGTCACAGGAGCTGGGGAGTCGTCCCGGGGCCTCACGGGTCGCGCTCTGGGCCAGCCTTTGTCTCCCCTGCGCTGGGGTCGCCTCCAACGCCGGACCCGCGCCTGGCGCTCACGTGGCCCGTAAATAACAGTCAAATCCGGGAGGAGGAAAATGCCCATGGAACAAAGAGGCTTGCTTTCTGCACCTGACAGTAATCCGTGGTGGAGAGGCCCTAAATCGCTGGCGATTCACACGGCAAGGGGTGTGGGAGGGCGCGTGTGAGTGTGTGTGTGTGTGTCCACGTGTGCGTGTCCGCGCCTGCGCGGCTGTTCCCTGGAGGGTAGCCACAGCTTGGGACTTAATGCATTTAAGCCGAGAGCCACTTTAATTGAGAAAGCTAAGGACTGATTTTTTATTAAAAGACTAATTTAAAAAATCTCCTCCCGCTCCACATTGCCAATTCAGGAATTAGCCTTTTGTTGTGTGAATTTCAGCAAAGGAGATTTAAATTACCATGTTGTTTTTATCGGGATACTGTCTAAACACCCTAGATAGATATATTTTTAATTGTATGTTTGTGAGCCATTTGGTTCACAGTCAAATGAGTACAATGTGAGGGCTACGCCATGCCGAATGTAGAGATGATGATAAAACCTGTCTTCCCCAGCCTGGCCAACGTAGTGAAACCCCGTCTGTACTAATATATATATATATTAGCCGGGCGTCGTGGCAGGCGCCTGTGATCCCATATACTCAGGAGGCTGAGGCAGGAGAATCGCTTGAACCCGGCAGGCGGAGGTTGCAGTGGGTCGATATCACGCCACTGCACTCCAGCCTGGAAAACAGAGGGGGGATTCCGTCTCAGAAAAAAACAATAACAACAACAAAACAAACAAACAGAAAAACCTGTCTCCGATTTGTCTGCAGCCTGTGGATGAAATATAACCAGTTCAAACAGGAATCTTGTGAAACAGCTTGTCAGTAAGCAGATCTTGGAGAAAACAAAGGCATTTGAGAGCAAGACATGGAATGTCATTTCAAAGTTAATTTAATTAACTAAGGCATATTTGCAGGAATTGGGATGGGATTGCCCAAGGAGGGGTCTTTTATTTATATTCAGCAGTAAACCTCGGGGTGAAAAAACTTTTAGAAATTCACTCTGACAAGTAAATCCAGCTCCTCTTTCATCAGACAGTCCTTAGACTGGACTGACCTTATTAGTCACTGTCAGGCTCCAGCAAAACCCCTGCTCTTGTTTAAGAACATTTCTTTCCAATTAGGAAGTTGTATGATCTGGGAATCTAAAGCCCAGAGTAGAATCTCCAGAGAAAAGCACAGCTTCTATTCTGGTTTTGATGCCAACCTCTGACTCACTGCCCTGTCCCAAAGTGCCTGAATAAAACTTGCCTGAAAAATCATTAATGAATTAATTAAGGTGGTAATGGAAAGAAAAGTCCTGTGGCTTTTCCTTTCCTGAATAAAGAGGGAGCCTTGCTATTACACGGAACGGGAACAGGAATAATCTATTTTGCACAGATCTGTTGGTTAGGTTTCTTAGAAAACTGATTCGGGAACTCACCCCCTGGTAGTGGGAAGGCTCAAAAGAACTGGGAGATCCTCTCCTGCTCCTGAAAGCAGAGAAGCTTGTGGTCTATATAGTGTGTTCCCTAGGCAACATTTAGAAATGGAATTGAGAAATGTCTATCCTTCCCTACCTACCTCTGCCCATCAAGTCAGGACTGAAAGTGAAGGAAAGCCTTCAACATTCAAATAACCTAACCAGAAACCCGCAAAGTCACAGCCTGAGGATTTTTTTTTTTTGGGGGGGGGGTCCTGACTTTGTCACAGATCTTCATTTGTTTTCTCTGCTTGATGCTCTAGCACTTATTAATGATTTAAAAGGCTAACTTTTAGCCAGACAAGGTGGTTCATACCTGTAATCCCAGAACTTTGGAAGGCCAAGGCAGGCAGATCACCTGAGGTCAGGAGTTCAACACCAGTCCGGCCAATGTGATGAAGCCCCGTCTCTAGTAAAAATACAAAATTAGCTGGTGTGATGGCGGGCTTAGCAGTGTGCACCTGTAATCCTAGCTACTCTGGAGGCTGAGGGAGGAGAATCACTTGAAACTGAGAGGCAGAGGTTGCAGAGAGCTGAGATTGTACCACTGTACTCCAGAGGGGAGACGAGCAAAACTCCATCTCTAAATAAATAAATAAATAAATAAAAATTAAATAAAAGGCCAAGTTTCTAACCAAGGGTCTCTGCAGAAAGGTTTTAATGCATTGCTTCATTTACTGTTTTATCTTAAAACTATGCAATCTAGGCTATGCCACCATCTAGTTGGAAGCCTTGGGCAAGACAGTCTCCTTTGGCCTCACTTTCTTTGCCTGCAAAATGAAGAGTTTTGGGAGGATGGCTTCTCAGGTCTGGTCTATTTCCAACCCTATATAATTCTGAGCAGAAGAAACCTTGTTAGCTCCAAGCCCAAGTTTCACTATGTTTCTCATCTCACTCTCTGAAGAGCCAACCGCACTATAATGGCTTAAGTAAAGGACGATCTTTAGCTCCTCCCTGTCCCTGCTTTAGAATATAAATTCACGGAGAGCAGAGTTCATAGTTTTTATTTATTTGTTTAGTCAAGTGCTAATATCCCAAGCATTTTGATAAACGTCTTCAAAATTTCAGAAACAATTTTTGGAAAGAAACCCTTCTTCAAACAGGATAAAAATGAACTCAGAGACTGGACATGGTGGCTCACGCCTGTAATCCCCCAGCACTTTGGGAAGCTGGTGGATCTCTTGAGATCAGGAGTTTGAGACCAGCCTGGCCA